CTCTCTCTCTCTCTATTTCTGTCTCTCTCTCTCAAATAAATAAATAAAATCTTAAAAGAAAAAAATGCTATCCTGGAGAGAAAGGGATAGCTGTTATCTGAGAACCTTGTAATCATCCATCAACCAACCACTCAAGTCCTTCTCTTCTACCAACCCCAGTGCAAATTCCTGCCTGGCCCTAAGCAATCAGTCCTCATAAAAAAGAAGAAAAGATAAAATCAAAGCAAGGAAAATGCTGTATACCATGAGTCACAGCTCAGGCTACCTGAGAAACACTAGACAATCAGTCAGCCTTGCTGGCTCTCCCTCCCATCTGTAAAATGAAGAAAGCTGGACCAAGCCCATGTTCTTTTAAATATGCTTCCCAACTCTGCTTTCACCAAAAGGGGTGCCTCTTGGTATTCCTTTGCCCAAGTGTGTCTGTGAGTGGACAACTGCCACGAGCTCATCTGAGAAGGGACTTCGGTTTGTTTAACATAAGGAAGGTTTCCAATGTTCCCATGATCTCTGAGTTCTATTAGCAGAAAGCACTCTGCATACAGGCTAATAAATACCGGATTAACCAGGCCTCTAACATGAGCTGGTTGTTACCACACTAACTCACCAACTTCTGCTAATAGTGTTACAAAATTTGGGCTTAGATTCCAGCCCCTCCACTCCCTGTGGAGGTCAAGCCACAATCTTTCCTTCTTTTTCTTAAAATTTTACTTATTTGACAGAGAGCAAGAGAGAAAGAGCACAAGCATGGGGAGCAGCAGAGGGAGAAGCAGGCTCCCCGCTGAGCAGGGAGCCCCACATGGGGCTCGATCCCAGGACCCCGGGATCATGACCTGAGTTGAAGGCAGATGCTTAACTGACTGAGCCACCCAGGCGCCCCAAGCCACAATTTTTCTGAGCCAGTTTTTAAAAAATCAGTAAATGTGTTAATAAGAACCCTGCCCCATCCATCTTCTACAGCTCTTGAAAAGATCCAGTAAGATACTGTAAATGAGAGAACTTGGTGAACTGTGAAAGTTATTATTCCAATGTAAATGGTTCTTTTATAAAACACATACACACAGAAAATGGAATCTTGACCTTTGCTCCTAAACCTAAAATCTGCCCTTACCCAAACAGGAACTGAGAATGGCCCCGAGGTAGCTTCTCTTCTCTTTTCTGCTGGTTCAAGGGAAGAAAAACTGCCACTGACTGATGCAACGCAAAATCCATTATCCCCCAGGACAGAGCCCAGGAGCACACATGGCTTTCTACAAGAGGCAGAATGGCACACTGCCAAGCCCTGAGGATGAAGGTGACCTGGGAGGCACTAGCCCTTGATTTATGTAGAAGCTTGGGTAGGTACTTTCCCTCCCTTTTCTATGGAGTGAGCTGTGGGGGCTCAGTGATCTCCACTATCCTTTACAACTAAATTTCATCATTCTGTGAATGTGAAGTTAAAATAAATGCAAAGTATATTCACTGTAGTGTTATCTGCATTAACACACCTTTGAACAACCTGAATGTCCAGCAATGGCAGACAGGTTAAGTAAATTATGATGTATCCAGACAACAGAATATCATGGAACCATTAAAATCATGTTTACAAGGAGTTTATAAGCTTTTAAGTGGGAAAAAAGAATACAAAATAGTACACACAGTATTATCATCTATGTAAAAATACATGCATGTGCGTGTATGTATGAAAATAAAACACTGAGGGGTGCCTGACTCAGACAGTAGGGCACGTGACTCTTGATCTCTGGGTTGTGAGTTCAAGCCCCACTTTGGGCATGGAGATTACTTAATTAAAAATTTTTAAAAAAGGGGGTGCCTGGGTGGCTCAGTCATTAAGCGTCTGCCTTTGGCTCAGGTCATGATCCCAGGATCTTGGGATCAAGCCCTGCGTCAGGCTCCCTGCTTAGCAGGGAGCCTGCTTCTCCCTCTCCCACTCCCCCTGCTTGTGTTCCTTCTCTCACTGTGTCTCTGTCAAATAAATAAATAAAATCTTGAAAAAAAAAATTTTTTTTTAAAGAAAGAAAGAAAAGAGGGGCACCAGGGTGGCTCAGTCAGTTAGGCACCTGCCTTTGGCTCGGGTCATGATCTCAGGGTCCTGGGATCTAGCCCTGCATCAGGCTCCCTGCTCAGTGGGGAGTCTGCTTTTCCCTCTGCTTCTCCCTCTGCCTCTCAGCCTCTCACTTGTGCATTCTCTCTCTCTCAAATAAACAAGTAAATCTTTTAAAAAAATAAAAGAAAAAAAATACTGAAAGGTCACACTAAAATTTAATAGTAGTTATCTGTACACAGTTGGCTTATAGTTCACTCTAAGTTTTTTTCTTCTTTTTTTTTTTAAGATTTTATTTAATTTGAGAAAGAACTCGAGCAAGCATGAGTGGGGGGGAGGGGCAGAGGGAGAGGGAGAAGCAGACGTGGGCCAATGCAAGAACCCTGGGATCAGGGCCTGAGCTGAAGGCAGAAACATAACTGACTGAGAGATCTAGGGGCCCCAAGTTTTCTTCTTTATACTCTGTACTACCCAAATTTTCTAGAATAAATGTTTTTTTCAAATATGAAAACAAAGTTTTTGGGCTTGGGTTTTTTTTTTTTTTTTTTGGACAGTACATAACATCATGTATACTGTATGTTCTCAAGCCAAAAGGTGGGTAGAGGAAGACAGAATATTTTGGCAGAACTGTGTCAAATGTTAATAGTGATTGATTCTGAGTAGTAATGTAATATTTCTTTTTCCTGCTTCTTTATTCTATCAAACTGTCTACATTGAGCATGTATTATATATAAAAATACTTAGCATATGCCTAGTATTTAGCATGTGATAAACAAGTGGTACTTAGTATGAATTCTATAGTTAGGAAAGACATTCTAAGAGAATGGCCACCACAGAATCAGACTCAAGTCAGAGAAGATCCCAGAAGATCCTCTGCGGTACAGATTTACCAGGAAAACACCCAAACTGGATATTTCAAGGGGCTTTAACTGTGACTCTCCACACTGGTCTGTCTGCTTCTGTACAGCTGAGAAGTGAAGGCCAGAAATTATTTAGTGTTGCTCCCTCTGGAGTGTGAGTCAGAAAAAAAAATTTCTTTAAGTAAAAACAGAAACCTTAGCTAGTTAGCAGTCCCAAAATTATCTGGAAAAATGAGATCTCTTCATGATGAAATCAAACAGACTAGGTTTCTAAGTTCCATATTTTTAAAAAGGCAAAATGCTAATTTTTAGGAGATAGGATTTTAGTACAATATTTTTCTTGTAAAATTTTTTTTTTTTAAGATTTTATTTATTTATTTGACAGAGAGAGATATAGCGAGAGCAGGAACACAAGCAGGGGGAGTGGAAGAGGGAGAAGCAGGCTTCCTACCAAGCAGGGAGCCCAATGTGGGACTCGATCCCAGGACCCTGGGATCATGACCTGAGCCGAAGGCAGATGCTTAACGACTGAGCCACCCAGGCGCCCTTTAATTTTTTTAAAATACTGATTGCAGGGTTTACTTTTAACATTTTGAAGAATACATTGGGAATTTAGTTAGAGAAAATAAAAATGTTTACCTTTGAAGGAAAAACGATGCTTCAAAGGCAAGGTCTCAAGGTAATGAAACTGTCTCATATGTCCTTAAGTATTAATTAAATTACTAGGTAAAGAGGCTAAATTACAGAAAAACTCAATAATTATGACTTTATATAAATAACGACTATCTTTTGTTATATGAGGCCCAGAGCATCTTTTTTTTTTTCTTTCTTTCTTTTTTTTTTTTTAATTTGCATGTCTCCTTGTAGGAAGGAAAGTGACTTTTGATTCAGTGTAGGAAGACTATAAATATATAGTCTTCTGGAGAAATAGTAAAAGACTGTGGTTTACATTTGACTATGAATGAGTAAAATATTAGGAGAGATCTTTGAAAGTCTAAACCTGACATTATGTCAGGGTTTTCATTTCTGTATCTGGCACCATGTGGATATGGGCACTTGCACAGAAAAACAAGAAATTTAAGAATGAAAGGTATCTGAGTGGGTTTCTAAACCAGGGCTCAGCTAACTATAGCCTGCAGGCCAAATCCAGCCCATCTCCTATTTTTATGTGGCTCACAGCTAAGAACGGATTTTATATATATATATATATTTTTTTTTTTTTTTTTACTTTTTTTTTTAAGGTTTTATTTATTTGTCAGAGAGAGCACAGGCAGGGGGAGCAGAGACAGAGGGAGAGGGAGAAGCAGGCTCCCCGCTGAGCAGGGAGCCTGATGTGGGACTCGATCCCAGAACCCTGGGATCATGACCTGAGCTGAAGGCAGATGCTTAACTGACTGAGCCACCCAAGCATCCCTGGATTTTATGGAAAAAAAACGAAAAACAAAAAATTTGCAACAGAGACCTGAGACCCATGTGGCCCAAAGTGTAAAACATTTACTTTCTGGTCCTTTACAGAAAGATTCTAAACCAACCATTTCATTTTGCAGAGGAGTAGATACAGAGTCTCTCTGACCTGCCCAACATCACCCCCGCTAATCACTGGCAGTGCGGGAGTAGATTATAGGTTTCCTGACTCCTGGCCCACCACCTCGGAGAGAATAAGTTGTACTGGAAAGCATGAATCTAGGTTGCATTTCTTATTTTGCTTGAGGCTTAGTCACTTCTTGGGCTGTGCTTTAAAATCTTTTACTAAAATTTCTCAAAGAATCTTGACCCTCCAATTTTTAAACCATCCCCTTCTTTGGGGAAAAAAATTAATCCTTTATCCTTTCTTTCCTTTAGGATCAATAGTTCAGATTAACCAATTTGCCCTAGCTGATGATGAAATGTTCTTTACAGAAAGGATTCTGGGAGCGCCTAGGTGGCTCAGTCAGTTAAGCATCTGCCTTTGGCTCGGGTCATAATCCCAGAGTCCTGGGATCGAGTCCCACATCGGGCTCCCTGCTCAGCGGGGAGTCTGCTTCTTCCCCTCCTTCTCCCTCTGGGTGCTTGCACGCTCTCTCTCTCGCTCTCTCTCAAATAAATAAATAAATAAATAAATCTTAAAGAAAGAATTCTGGCTAATAAAGGTAGGAAAATGACTGAATTAGAAAATCACCATCTTGCAACAATCATCAATGGGTGAAACCATTAGGTGAAAAGTTGATGGGGAACTTCATAATGGAGGACCAGACTACCTCACTGGAACCCACTGGTCAATCCTAGTGCCATTAAAAATGAGTCTACCGGGGCACCTGGGTGGCTCAGTTGGTTGAGTGTCCGACTCTTGATTCTGGCTCAGGTCATGGTCTCAGGGTCCTGGGATCGAGCCCCACTTTGGGCTCCATGCTCAGCATGGACTCTGCTCAATATTCTCTTGCTCCCTCTCCTGCCCCCTCTCGCTCACTCATGAGCTCTCTCTCTAAAATAAAATCTTAAAAAAAAAAAAAAAAGGTGAGTCAACCAGATGTAAACATGCTTGTGTTATACATAATAAATTTCAGGTAAGAAACCATTTCTTCTAAGGAGAAGGATTTGTTTTTCATTATACACCTTTTTGCACTGTTTGAAGGCCTTACTCTGTGGACCCTGTGCTTTTTGAATTAAAAGGGCTTTCAAAAAGTCCCTTTCTCTCTCTTCTTTACAAACTGAAATTTAAGAATTATTTTAATAAATCAAAGGCAGTACAATATGGTTAAAAAGGCAGCAAATCAGGAACTACTGGGCTAGTCATTTTGTATCTCCAAGTATGTTTCTTAATCTGTAAAACGAGAAGGTTTGATTAAATACATTCATCTAAGGCTTTTTCTAGTTCTAAAATTATGAAGCCATACTTCCTTTGCTACAGAATACCATGTAGCTTCAGCAACTTCCACTCATCTTAAAACTACTATAGTGCATTTGGGATTTTTTGGTTTGTTTTAGCAACAACAATCTAACCTTTTATGTATTTATTTATTTATTACAATCTGACCTTTTAAGCTATCGTGTATTTTATTATATGTACATCCACATGCCTCAAATGCTGTATGTAGCCCAGTTACTGCACTAGATCCTACTCCCAGGTATTAGCTGGTAAGTCAAGAGTGATGTAATATCTACCTGATGCCAGCAAATTCCACCTTCTGAGTGATATAGGCACATGTGCTGACCTAAGGAAGATAGACAGACAGACAGAGAGAGAGGATATGAGATTCAACAACACATCAAGGACATAAAAGGTCACAAAGAAAGTTTCCTGCCTTTCTAATTTCTTCTAACAACCCAAGGTTCAATTAACAAGGGAGTAATAGATTTATCCCATAGGCAAACTTGCTGGGGCAGGTATAACAGTAGGTTCTTAAGAGTGTGACAAGTATAGACAATAATAAAGACCAGATGGAAAATAAGTGCCCAGCTTCACTAACATGTTTATCTTCACATACATTTGCATACATTTCTATATTTACATACTCATTTAATTACACAACATTTATTTATCATTTTAGCTCTCGTTTTATAGAATGGAACCCTCCCCCAACCAATACAAAATGAGCAAACATATTTTTTTCTGAAAATATTCACTGTATGGAAATTCTACCTACAATTTGTTGCTTCATAATGCTCAAAATGCCCAATAAGAAAAATTTTCAGAACCAGCTCACAATGAACTGATCATTTTAAGTAGAAAATGTTAATTCAAAATAAATAAATCAGGAAAATGGGAGAAGGGTACGGCAAAAAGCAGTCTAACTGGGAAGCGACAAGATCTGGGTTCTAGCGCGGTGTCCACTGCTGACTATAGTTTTTTAGTCTTGAGTAATCGCTTATCCTCTCAATCTCAATTTTCACATAAATGAAGAGTAATAAATACCTGTCCATGGGGAGGTGACAGGAACATGTGAAAGCTAAAGTTCCATTCAAATGTAAAATAATATTATAATTTCCCGTTCTAACCAAAAATGTGGAGTAAAAATCTATAAAAAAGCAAAACAAAGCTCAAAAAGAACCACAAAGAGAATGGAAGAAGATACACAAAGGGTTTACAATAATTATCTGTGATGCTGGAATTAGAAATGATTTTATACCCTTCTCCCTACTAAATCTCTACAAGGAAAATGGATTAATATAACAGGAAAAGTAACAGACTTTTTTTTTTTTTTTAAATCACATCTTACCAAACTTTTCTTTAATCGCCACATATCCCCACGGCCAATATATTGATCCTTAAAGGTTAATTCCACTAGGTCAAGGGTCACATCCTAAAAGGGATAATCAAATATATCTCTCTGCATTACTCTGCCACACTTCATCTTAAGATAATGCACACTCACCATGCAGAAACCTTTTAGCAAACAAGAAAACTACTAGAAGAACATTTGATAACTGAACACCGACACATAGCATTTCATCCTGCCAGAAAAGGCTTTTGAGTACAGATGATAAGTCTACAACAGATGCTACAGCAGCTGGATCATGACTAAGTGCAAAAAGTACCAAAGTAATAATTCTGTGTTTAGTCTTGATTCTAGCACATACATAGGACATTGAGCTCTGTGCTTTATTTCTCTAGATAATGTCAATGATACCTTTTAGACAATGATTTTTACCTATTACAGCACCATTTCTCAACTCAGAAAAAAAAGGAGAACACCTAGAGAAATTATAGTATTTTAATAGAAAATTTTATATTGAGCTTGACATGTACCTATATATACACAATCTTTTTAGGAAAGCTTTTAAAAAAGGGTGAGGGCTTTAAATGCAAGCTATGTAATACCTATAATCTAAGTGACCTATATATGACCACATATTTAAAAGTCCAACACTATACTTACATAACTCATTATTTCCTTAGAGACCTAACCTTTTAGGAACAGTATTAATCATTCCCCAAAAGATATTCAAGTCCAGAGCAAAGACATACCTTAGGGTCTACAACATTCACATAAACATCTTGATAAGGTCTTAGTCGGAACACTTGAGTCACAGTCTGGTCCACACTAATAGTTTCTGAAACAGAAGAAATCTGGATCAGAGAACATACTCTGAAAAAGAAGGTAA